TATATATATATTGCTAGTTAACTTAAGTTTAACTTAAGATGCGTTGAACAAAAATGAGATCGAGCGTTCGAGATCAGCTAAAACTATTAATGACTAGAATAAAAGGAACGCAAATAGTACGATATCTGAAACGTAAGAAATCCATCAATTATTAATTACATATAATCAATTTTCAATGGTAAATCAGACATTCTTTCCGCACTGAACATTAGATTAAACTACTTCTAACATATGGGTAAAATTAAAAAAAAAATGTACTTTATACAATCGTTGTTTTTGCAAAAATAGCGTTGTACATCTGGATTATTTCCATCTTTTTTTTTTTTGATTGATGTACAGAAAAATGCACTTATTGAAGATTGAAAGTGGAATTAAAGGACCACCCTCACCACCGTAAGCGTCGTAAACGCGATGCGCGAGATATATTCCTCGAATAAAATACTCTCTTATAAAGTAGATAACGATATAATCATAGCACTGTCATTTCTTTTTACACTCACGTCAGTTCTTTGGAAAAAAACACTCTTCAGCCATTCTTCAGATGCAATGATATTCAATTTCTTCCTCTATTTAATCCTTCGATATAGTTATTCAGGAAATATCTGTCCTTTTATCTTTTTTAATATTGTAACACTGGTTATGATGTAGATGAAGAAGCTAAACTGATTTGTAGATAGAGATAATCAACGTTGAAGAAATTGGCTGTCCGAGCCATCAAATTAAACGTGTACACGCCGTTGACGTATCTAAAGACACTGGTACATATTATTGTGATGAGGCATGTGATGATGAGGCGGCGGCGGCGGTAGCTGATGCTGAGGACGATGAATCTGGTACATCCTCTGATCGTAGCAGGGCTGGTACTGCATCGGCGGACTCACGCTCTGATCGCTGTAGCAGTCATACTCCTGCCATTCTGGTGCGACAAATCGCTCTTGAGGAGAATACGGGAAGCCCGCGGTATGCTGGGGCCCGAGTCTCTTCTGGGCTGCCACCGCGCAGCTTCCGGTCGACGAGGTGATCATGTTGCCGTTATCGCTGATGCTGACGGTGACGTTGCCGACGTTGACCGTAATCTCGCCACCATCAGAGTTGCCCAGGGTTTGCGATAGCGCCCAGATATAATTGTGCGCGAAACGGAGCGTTTCTATCTTTGTCAATTTTGTGTCTTCGGGAAACGTCGGCAGGGCCATCCTCAGGCGTTCCAGAGCGTCATTTAGAGTGTGCATCCTGTGACGTTCGCGGTCGTTCGCCTTCATCCGCCGGTTTCTCTTCAGTCTCAGCACCTGTTCGCGAAACGAAAAAATTAAAAGATTTAATTATTTTCAGAGGAAAGGTTTATTTTAAGAGAGAAAATAGATAAATAAAATAAAGACTTTAGAAAAGTAAATGATAAGATAAAGATTGCGTAGAAACAAAATTGAAAGAAATTGAAAGTCTTGATTGTTTCAATTTTTTAAAAAGACATTACTCTCAGACATTAAAATTTTTATATCGCGCAAAAAAATTTTGGGAAAAATGTGTTTAGATGAAAATAAATTATAATTTATAATAATAAACTTATGAATATTTACCTGCGTGGGACTTTTGCAACGAGTGTTCCGCGTTTTTTTGCGCTTCTCTTCTTTAGCCGGAGGGAAGAGAGTGTCGGTTGATACTTCGTGTTTCGGTGATTCAAAACTCACGTCAAAACCGGAATCGGAGGAGCTCGAGAGTTCGTCGAAACCTCCCTCGCTACAGAAGGAGTACTCCGACGACATCGCTCCGACTTTAGCTTGCTGCAATGCGAAACGATCAAACACATTTACGGTAATTTTTTTATACGAGTCAAAATTCTGTTATTATATGATTATATATATTAAAAAGAATAATAGAACCTTCTTCTGTTTTACGATTATTAAATAAAATTACTTTACTTTTCTACAATATCGATAAAAATTTTTAACATTCTTTTATTAAATTTTAACTAAAAAATTATGCAGAATAAATTTCTACATACCATAATTCAGTAATTCTAGACTTAAAAAAAAAACTTTGTCAAATATCTTCAACGTACCTTTAAACAATTCTGGGACAAAATAAATTTCTCGAAATAGCACACAACACAAAGTAGAGAAATTGCACTTTTTTAAATGACAAGAAGAAACTTTATACGATTAATAAAAATTCGTATCACGAGAGTGATGGATGGAAACGGGAAACGAGAAAATAAGAATTCACCGACGAACGGACTAGGCGGGGTACAATTTGGTACTGTGCATGTGGCAAGGGGCTCTTAGAACATATATACCGTCCCGGGGGTATTTCGCCCCCTCCACGCGAGCCCAGGGCCACCGTAAGGCTCTATGGGGCACCGAGTAGGTTCACCCCATAATCATCATAGAGGGGTACCTCTAGCGCTCTCCCCGCTCTTCTTCGTGTATGCATTAGACGCGTGCCATGGCGATGTAGCTGCCTTGTTAGAAGATTAGAGGTTTTTAGGACGATTACACCGCTTCGGGATTATCGTGTAGAAGCAGCCCCCAAATTTACAATCAATTCTTGAATGTTTTTACTGCAATTGCGTCGAAAAATTATATGTGCAATATTTAAGAAAAATCAAAGCTATTAAATTTTATAATAAAAAATTTGTTAATAGAAAGTTTTGAGTTAGAAATTTCTTTTTATTATTAAATTCTTAAAAGATATAAATTGTTTTCTTTTTTTTATTTTTAAGAACTATTCATGCGCGAAAATCTTTTGTGAAAATTAAAACTCTGTTTAACATGTGTCTTTTTATTACTAGTGCTGGAAAGAAAAAATCAAATCAGTATTACTAATAATATAATATTATACTTTCTATAAAGCTTTCTTGTGTACCGTCTGCCTCTAAAGTACAACGGGTAAATCATATGCAGGCGTTTATCATCTTGCAAAATAAAAAAGAGCGCATAGTTCTGTTTTAATAAAAAACATAATTTTTTTAATATATAAACCTTGATATTTTTGTATATTAATAAATTACACATATAACATTCAAATATTTAATAATTTCAATATTGTATTATTTGTATAAGAAATATAATATGGAAAAGATTATAAAGTAATATATATATGCAATTATTTTTTTACTTACGATTTATAATATTCCTTCGAACGTTCGCAGTCATTTAACGATCGTGCACAATCTACGGCTGAAAATAAGTTGCAGATAATCTAATAAAATCAACGATGACCATATGTCGCACTTGCTAATCAGTTGATAATACACATTGCTATAGAAACCAACCGGGTTAAACCAACATAAATTAGAAAAGAATTTTAACGAGTAATATACGAATAAAAATACTGTAGGAAGCAATTTTTTATTGCAGTAATTATTTTTGTTTTATGAATTTATCATTTTTTTCTTTATTTTAATTCAAATCTGTGTATATAAGAATTCTGAAAATATAAGAATCTTGAAAAGAATTTAAAAATAAAATATTATATTTCCATTATTGCTATTTTATCAAAATTGTAAAATAGGATTCAGCTAAAAATATAATATGACAAAAATTTTGACTGCGCATATTTTGCAAGTTTGTTAACCAATTAATTATTATTGCTGTAATATAAAAGAAAGCATAAGATATCCAACAAATAAAGTTATCAGAGTGTATCTTGTATACTTAACAGCGCGACATGAAATATCAGTTTGTAAAGGGATCAGTGATATAAAGATAGGAGTACTAATCAACGATTTGTGCGGCGTATTAGTGTCCATCGATCACAAAGTCACCAATTTTTAACACGTGGGATTTCGAAATAATTCCAGAATGACCCGCTATATTATGTATATAAACACTTTACAAGTCTTGGTTTTCTATCGTAAATAAGATCGGCGTCTATATTGGGAATGAAAAATATCAAGAACACGTGCTAGATGTTCGCACGGGGATTTGATTATCGAAGGATATTCATGTATTCCGAGTGCATTGTCAATAATTTCTTTAACTGAAACAGATCTATTCGCCTTCCGGATGATTACTTAAATCTTCGACTTCTGTCATTCGCAGGCAAAAATCGCGTGCGAATAGAAGCAGTCGTCGCATATGTCACTGGGGGACTATTGTAAATATTTCTTGTCTATTTGCACAATTCACGAAAAATGAAAAATAAGACAAGAAAAATTCGAGATAGCAGGAACGTAAGAGATAAACATCATCTAAATACTTTTTTCATTAGAATTATATTAACAGAGTTTTGAAATGTGTAATTAAAGTGCAAATACAATATGTATCAAAATCTCTATACTTACTTTTCAGATAAAACAAACATGTAATAATAAAATAATTAAAGACACATTAGAAGTCTAGAATTGGCTATTATATCGTTATCATTAGCTGTTGATGCTTATCTTTTTTGTTCTTAAATTAGCAGTATTAAGTAATTAGACTGCTAAATTAATTTATAATATTAACTGACTAGAGAGATTGTCGAATAAATCTTTATTACACCACTTGATAATGATTGCAAGATATTTTTCCGAGATTAATTATATTGAAATCGTTTTCTCAGATACTTCGTTGTAATCTGCTAATGAGGAATATGTAAATTACGCGATTACTTTCGTTATGCGCCACCGGTTTTTGCGCTATATTTCTCTTATACCGTAAACGCAAGATGGAACGTTTAATGTGAGGGGATTACGGCACCGTTCGATCAATTTGCATAATTGTAACGCTCCTAAGCAGCTATTTTCCGGACGCATCGTGCGTGTGTTTACGAGCATTGCACCTTGTATAAGTATAGGTATGACTGACCTGGCACAGATCCATCCTCGATGTATCTCACGACATTACGCTGAAACGCGTTATTCTTTCGAAGACATTACAATGGTTAAATGTTCCACTATTTACATAACAGAGAGATGATAAAACTATTTTTATTCTACTATTTTTTTCTATAAACTTGAAAATAAATAAAAAAATGTTGCAAATTGTTAATATATGCAAAAAAACAATTCTATAACAGAAAATAAAATAATGCTACTCGATATTTTAAAGTAGATATAATGTGTTAATAGTAATTATTAAAATATTTATATTGTACTATATATATACTATATATATTGTACTGTATATATATTAGAAAGAGCAATGGAGATTATAAAAATTTACTTTTCAGAGATATTTATTTCTGGCTGTCTTTATTTCCGGCATGAAGCCGTGTAAAATGTAAAAGTCTGAGATTGTTACGACGAGATAAATAGCGCCGCAGAAAAACGCTTTACGTAATTTTTCCATGCATTGAAAACCGGAGGCAAATGGAATTTAACTGCGCCAAAGTTATACCATGAGAGCTAGAATAAAACCACTTTCTCTTAGCGAAACTATGTCACTATATTTGGCATTATCTGCCTTCAAATGCTCCCGTGGAGCCTATAATAAGGTGAGAAAAGAAATTAAACGACTGATTGTTTGACATTTACAGAACAATGTTTGCTGATAGCTCGAGTTGGTCGTTATAAATGATTTCCTTTTCTATTGATGACATTTATCGGATTTATTACCCGGAAGGAATTATTTTTTTTTTTGTAATTTCACGCCATGATTAAATTTTTAAGCGTGGATGCAACGTGATTCTCTGTCACGCTTTCTTGCAGTTATATATTTCATGTATCTTTTACATCGTTTATCACGATTACCATTACTATCTTTTGAAAATATATCAACAGAATAATTTTCAGAAGTTCCAAAAGAATAACGTGCGCTCAAGTAATACTATTTTACTCTTCTTTAACAGAGACAAATTTTAATTAAGAAAAAGTTTAATAAAATTTAGGGATTTTATAATATAAAATATTAATCATATAATATTTTATAATATACATATATTTTATAATAATAAAACAAATATAAAAAATATTTGTTATATATTAAAAATAATTTTTGTGTGGAATTAAATATAAAAAAAAATTATGATCATATATTATACAGAAATATACGATCTGACTGATATTCATGCTATTTTCTAATACATATTTTTTTGCAATGCTATTCGCGCATATTTTAAAGAAAAGAAAAGGAGAAAGAACCCCCTAACCCTTTTCACACTTTGAAAATTTGTAGCATGATAAAAGGTCGCCGTGAAATCGATACCGTCGCAGACACATGTTCGATCGGCCGGCGGAAATATTGGAAATTACACGAAAGATTTGTCCCAGAGGCGTGCAGAATCGAAAATCAAATAAAAAAGGGGCGTGTAGGTACAACGATCGCGTTCGTTTGTAGAACGAAACCGTCAAACCCGTAAAAGGGTTCGGCTACGATAAAGGCGATTCGCTCTGATTGGATAATTTATTGACGAAGGGCAATCAATGAAATTGCGCCAACTGGTTTCTAAGGTATCCGTGAAATATTTCTGCAAACTAGGGAAGAAACTTTCCGCGAAATTATTTTTATTCCTTTTTATGTTTAAAAATGATATATTTTTTGTTAAAATGCAAAAAAAATTTATCTTTAAATTTTTTAAAATTATAATTTAGAGTAAGTAATTTTTCCATTAAATGAAAAAATTTATTCATATTTCTAATTTATTTTATACTAATATTAATGTGATAATACAATTAATGATGATATTTATAATATCGGATCAGTTATTCTAGCATAAAACAATTAGCATATGAAATTAAACTATGATGCGAGGAAAATTAATGAGCGAATTTATTACAGCACATCATGATACTTCATATCATAAATAAACAGAAAGCTGTTACGTGCAAACCGCATTAATGCTTTAT